AAATTGTCTGGTAACAATAAATTGACACATACCCCAAGTTTTAGATAGCGCATTCCATTTATGATACTAAGCGTTTCGCTTCGAGCAACACTAGTATCTATGCGGCGTGTATTCAATTCCATGAAAAAACGCTCAGTCACAGAACTGAATCTGTTGAAACAAAACAGAATAGCATATCATATTCATGCAGAACAAAAGCACTGAGGACGAAAATATATCATCACTAATCAAAAAACCTGGAAAGTTGAGAATAAAATTTGCATAACACAGACACTTTTATTGCTTACATCTAATGGAAATTTCTATTCTTCTAATTTGAAACTTGTGACAAAGTTTTCTTCTTTTCTTAACTTCATTTTTTTCTGAGTGGGATCCAATTTAAGATTCTCAAATGGAAAGCTAGAATTTTTTTTGTCATAGAAATTTCAAGTATGACTTATCTTTAACTATCATCTTTCAATCTAGACAGCAATTGCAGTTTAAAGGTCTAAAACAACGTTCAAGGTATTAAACATGTAAAGCACATATACAACTCAACTTAGATGGGAGCTAATCTGATCCCAATCTAGTAGAAGACACAGGCTCATCTAGAAGCCACAAATTTTCTTCCTTCCTAGAGGGCAGCAATAATGGCAACGCCTCAAGTTACCTGATCCGTGAGAGAGCACCAAGGAGTTGTGCAACTAGGTCTAGAAGAAGCCCCCTTAAATCAACCAATGAAGGATATTCCACCTGACTAACAACCCTGCATTCGGAGATATTGAACTCATTAAAGTCGAAAGAATGGTTAATTTCTTTCTTTCCACAGATCCAGCATTGCAGCATCTTAAATCAAGGTCAAGCAAACAACAGTTTTGGTCATTTTGATGTCTTTAATGACTTCTTTTAGGGAACAAGTGTAATCAGGGCCAATCAAATAAATAAAAAGTAAAAGTTTAAAAACATAAGACTTTAGAGTTAAGAAGATTAGAGCTACACTTGGATCAAAATATTCATCCTGGAATGCTAATCCATCTTGGCATATATCCACTTCTCTGATATACTTTATCTAAAATGAGAAATTAACCACTCATCCTCAATGAACATGCCTCTCTGAATTTTAATAGCATAATCAAGTCGTGAAGTTAATATTTCTCATTATCCAAGCCAATATAGAAATAATATCACACAGAAAAAGGAATGATGTGGATGATTAAGTTTCTATGACCACTATGAATTAATGACAACAGAGGAAGCCAAAAATGTCCCCATGTGAGATAGCAGACAACATCGATGGAGCAATGCTTAAAATAAAAACTGAAAAGAAATCTTGATTAGATGTTTCAAGTTCCACTAGATGAGGAAACTAGGAATAGAGAAAACTGAACAGCTGGATTTAGTTCTTTAAGTTTATAACAAGCTTGAAAGCTATACCTGTCTGCATTGATTAGCCAGTCGAACACAAAATTTTCAAGCCCAATCCATAGTTTCTCTGCAGTTAGGATAAGAATTATATTTGACCCCACAAAAACTTGGGCAACTTACTTAAAGAAGGAAGAGATGTAGCGGCGTGAATCTGTACACACCTGTTAGTCCTTCTTGTGGACAACACTCCACAAAGCGAATACAAGCGGAGCAAAAGATACACTCCACTGCAAGCTGAAGAAGATGAGGTAACCATTAGTTACCCTAAAACAAAGACAGATGTTTTATGAAAATCTAAAATATGCTATATAACCTCGATTAATCTGTTTCCTTGAATAAAGATCAGATCAGATCCAAACAAACATTGATTTGGATGAAAGCTCGGTTGACTCATGATTTCTTTCAAACTATAGATTAGATATTTTTCTTATTTGAGTGAGTATCTAATATTCTAATATCTATTACCACTATTGCAAACATCGGTCTAGGGGCGATCTCCCCCTTAGGCAACCGGCCACCTAGGCGCCCACCTAGCGCCTAACTCAGTCAGCTCGACCTTGCTAGTTTTTTTCATTATATATATATATATATATATATATATATATATATATATATATATATATATATATATAATATTTATTTATATAAATTATATAAATAAGAAAAGGAATATATATACATATATATATGTGTGTGTGTGTGTGTATAATATGACATATATACACCCACACACGTGCACTGCTTTCTTTCTTTTTTTCAGTTAGCCGCATAGCGCATAGCGCATAGCGCCTACTGCAACCATGTCTATTACATTACACACAATGTTTAAAAAATCGTTAGGCGCCCCCTACGCGCTTGGGGGGCGCATAGCGCCTAGGCGCCCGATTTGGGTAACCACATACAACTCACAAAGTCACAACACATTTCAATATTTCATCAATTAATCCCCTAATCTTCGACACATGACAGCTCAGAAGCCTCATTTCACATCTTAGACACGTGCAGCTCACATCCACCATCCACTAACGTAGTAACGTATCCATCCCCATTTTTGATTTTACACATCAAACAATGCAGCTCTCAGCCTCTCACATCCACAATACAGCTCACATCTACAGATCTACTACTGGTATTTTTTATTTTTCTCCCTCATTTTCCTATCTTTAAATTATCAAATAGTCAAATATTAGAATGAATCAAATCTGGACTTATCGGCAAATCAATTTTGTCGGTCGGTGGAGGACTGGCGTGTGGCGTCTGGAAACATAATCAGAGGCGGAGGCGGAGGGTGGCGGAGGCTGAACTCTGAAGTCGTGACTGCAGTCGGCGCGGGGGGAAAGGGTTCTGCTTTCTGGTCGGTAATCGCGATTTTTTTTTATAATGGGGTTATTCGGTTTGCGACAGTTCGGCCGGCTAGGCGGTCTAGGTGCCGCCTAGGCGCCCGGCCGCGGAGGAGGCCGATTCCGGCCTTCCTCGCCGCGGCCGGGTGCCGCCTAGCGCCTAGGCGCGATTTTTGCAACATTGATTACACAATAAACTTGCTTATGTATTAAAATATGTGCATGTATATTATGCAACTAAGTGGAGAGAGACATTTGTAGACAACAGAACCAACCTTTCTCTGAAATGTTGATGCATCATTTGCACCTTTGGGAGATTCACTGCACAGCATCCACCAAGTTAATACAAAAGCAGCACTTTCAAATAAATAATACACTAAACTTGAAAAAGCTCCAAGTACATAAGCCACTTCAGTGAAATCTTTTTAAAAGTCGCAATTTTTAAAAAGAAAGGGTCACTTGATATTCATAAAGTAACTGAAATCTTCACGTCTCAAAGTATAAAGTATGAATGAAAACATACATTTATTGTGTTAAAATGACATTGACTAGTGTCAACTATTCCTATCACATAATGAATATTCATTTGCAGGCAAATGGAAAGCAAAAGGAACATCTACTTCAGCTTTGAAATAAAATCTAATGGTAATTTAGCTAGCATGAATAGATAAAATGAAATTAAGCACCTTTCTCTCCATCTAAGGAGAGCCTCAAGCAGAGGTACAGGAGTGTGTCGTGCAATCATAGCCAAGGAATCCAATACTTGTTCATAGGCTGGGTCTGTTGGCCGAAGGTACTGTCCATCCTGAGTTTCCACAAGTGGAAGCAATATCATATCAGGTACCAAATAGCATCCCCCAATTTAGAAGTCAAAAATTCAACAATAAAACAAAACACCCATTTTGATATCCCCCCCTCAAAGAGACAGTGCTTGCCCTTACTAGAATTGATACAAGAACCAACCAAATGTAAATAAAATGTTCCCAAGACCAGAAAACCGAAGTCCATTACCAACTCCAGTAGCAAGCAACAGCTCCACCATGAGTACAGACAAAGAAAACGGGTAATCGAAACAGATGACTGGTAATAGTAATTCTTACTTGAGCTTGAGCGGTTTCAATCCGGCGCCGAGCAAGCGGAAGGAATCTCTGCAGCAAAGCATCAACAATCAACTTGGCTGCGCTCCCCGCCTTCATTTTCTCCAAAATTTCAAGCACTCGGCTTCAAGTCCAAACTTCAGATTTCATATCCAGCGCAAAACGTTCACTTCGAAGCTGAATGCGATCCCAATTAAACCCCCGCACAACTTAAATATTAAACTGATAAACAAAATTCCAAAATTATAACAGAAATTTTTTTTAAAAAAAATTAAAATAACAACGAATCCTCACTGCACAACAGTAAATCTGAAGAACTGGAGCTATAGAAGACGAACCTAAGTCAAACAAACCACAGAATGATTACCCTTCGTCTTCCATTACTATTTATCAGAGGTGAAATGTGACGAGATTTTCTGATGGGTTGGACTATGATAGACTTTGATCCTTTGTGTTTTATTTTATTTTTTCCTATTTTTGTTTCTACAGGTTTTGCCACGGCACCGCTGCGTCTCCTTTGTCGGTTTAATCAGTCAGAACTGCTTTATAGACTATTGGACCGGGTTTAATGGCGCTATTAACCGGTTCAGCTTGTGCTGTGTGTGCGCTGATATGAGCTGTCGACGACCACTCTGTTGGGGTGGCTGCGTTGTCTTTTCCGGTTTTTTACACTTTTTGCTGATTTGCTGCTTAAGTGCTTTCGTGGTTTTGAAACTAAAGGAGTAATTGAGAGTTATTACTCGTGGATTGAGTCTGATACGCGCTAAGAGAACATAGAGTTAGCATGAGAGGTTTTAAGTTGCAGTTGGTCCCCCTCCCTTCGATTATCTATATAGTCTTTTTTTTCGAGTTTACGAGTTAAAACCTTACAATTTTACCAAATAGGTTGTCATCCCTCAGTATTCCATTGTAAACGACATGTCACTATATGATTTGTTTGTTAAAATTTTGTGACTCTTTGGTTAATCTTCATCATCCTCTTACCTGGGGCATTAATGCATCATGGCAAATTGGCAAGCACCAATTTTTGCCCTTCTACAAAATGAAAAATTAAAGGGAGGGGTTCACTACAATTAACCAAAAGAAATGGGTCTAAGGGTAGTCCAAAATATGTGCAAGGGTCTAAGTAGCAATTTCCAAACATTGGGGGAGGGGGATCTAGAAATAACTGAAAAAGGAATCATATATTTAGGATTTGAGACATTACAAAACGGATAGAGATTACAGAAACTGATCTCTATACAATATACTGTACAATGATGTTAGGCAATTGATCCATCCCACCCAGATTCTTCAAGACTATGGTGGAGGTTTAGTCAAGTCATTCAGTAAAAGTTCATAAAGACCAGACTAATTGCAGATTTCTGTTTGAGTCCACGAGCAAATCATTGGTGGAAGAACGGCTTGAAAGCAAACAGCTTGATGAACATGGCTCCGCTAAGCAGGTGCAGATAAGTTGTAATGGTGCACAAAGTACATAACCCAGAAGAACTACACTAGTCTAAGGCACAAGTGTGTGTGTGTGTGTGTCAATAACCATAGCGGTCATTCAAGGATGTGCGCCCATCGCCTGATTGCCCTGGTTAAACCATTAAACATGTTAAGGACGAGGAAAAAGATAACCAGAAAGTTAGAACCTATTCAGAGGCAGAAAACCAAAAATCTTTTTACCTTTAGGGGGCACCCAGGTTTCATCGTCCATTCCACTGTCCAAAAATGGTGGTCTATCAGGACCATGCGTTGTTTTAGGTTTTTTCTTTTTCTTCTCCAGGGGACTTTCATGTAAGACCATTTCACCATCATGCCCATTTTCATCATCAGAAGCATGGTATCCTCTTGAATGTTTCAACAATAGGGCAATGGCTTCCTCTGCTTTCATGTCAGCACCAGAAGATTGTTTTTCAGTTTGACCTTCATTGGCATCAGACTTGACTTGTTTCCGCTTCCTTATTATAAGACCAGGAGCTGCATTTTCGATCACTGAAACTTCATTGGCATGTGCAGATGCCGAATTGTTTAACATCCTCTCCCTGTCTTTGTAGTCAACAAATTGATCATTTTCTTGCATGTCTGGCTGTGACTCCACCACAATTTCTTGCTTTTTCTCTTCCTTTACAGCTCCAAGCCACTGGGGCTTAGCAACAGTGTACTGAACAGTTTTACCATCTGTTGCATTAGTTACATTTCCCTCCTTATTCTCCTTGATGGATTCCGAAGTACCAACATTATCCTTAACATTATCTTCTTTATTCTCCTTGCTGGATTCCGAAGTACCAACATTATCCTCTTTCTTGGCGGAGGCATACTTCTCTGCTCCACATCTTTGATTATGTTTTACGGGAAGCTGTGGTGCATCAGATGTGAGGATTTTAGTCACCTTTGGTTCCTGTAGTTTCATCTCCCTCTTTCTAGCAGCTTCTCCAGTTGGATCAGCAATCTTGAGCAAGTAAAGTATCCTATCCAACTCTGATTGAAGAGAAGAGAGTTCTTTGCGCAGCCGGTCCTCCTTCTCATGAACTGGCATCAGGAACCATAAAATTATCATGATAGTCACAACATCACTATTATGAAGAAAATATTATAGAAAACATAACAAGTCATGATAACCATAAGGAAATCACTATTTCAAAGAAAATAATAAACAAAACATAATAACCGAGTCTGCTAATGCTAATCAGTTCCCTTTCAAAGTAAAAAGTAATCTGCATAATTGATAACCAAGATAACAAAAAAGATCACAAACCCAAAGTAATACACACCTAGTTGAGATGAGAGCCCTGACATGAATACATCAAGTTCATCAGCAGCTTCAAGATTCTCATTTACTGGACCAGTTTTATCCTCAGAAAGAAGTAGCTGTCTCTTGTCTTCCATCTCCTTGACAATGGCATCCTTCTTATCAAGGAGAGAATCTGCTGTTTCAACTGATTGGTTTTCACCACCCTTTTGCTTGGCAGGTTTCTGTGTCCGATCATAGAACTCATCTTCACCACTGTTCAATCAAAATATGCGAATAGTTGTTAATGCAACAATAGATAAATTAAACATAAAACTGATATCAAGTACCCTAAATAAATGACAGAAAAATGTATCTGCTTGATATGTTATCAAGCGTATATGCTGATTGCTCTTTCCAAAAATCAAGCTTGCATTGTTTGGAATTTCTTGAGAACTTGATAAGCCATACAACAGTGAAGAGTTCAACTATTTAATACCTTGAATACTCTTCTTCTTCTTCATCTACTCTTTTTTTCTTGCCATGAGACATCCTTCCAGCACGTGCACCCAAACTTTCTCGGATACTTTCATTTAAAGTTTCTTCCAAATTTTCAAGCTCTTCCATTATCTATGAAAAAGAATGATCAATATTGGAAAGTCGGAATAAATCCTGGTTATATGGGAATTAGTTTGGCCAACTATTCATCATAAGATAGTAGTTTAGCGACAGCTCTAGCCTATATAATGTAATCTTCTAAAGAAAATGATAACCCATTCACTCAAGATGGAGGAAATAAAGCTTTGAAGATTCTGGCTAGAGGACTCAATTGAGTTTAGCAGACAAGAGGATAAGACAAAGATCCCTCCCTTAAACATCAGTGACATTACCTGTGATATCCTCTGTTCATTCCGAGCAATCTGAGTTTGCTGTCCTTGTGTCAATCCACCTTGAGCAATGTCCTTTGCCCGGATAGCATCAATCTCCTTTTTCATATGAGCAATCTATGGCCAAAGAAAGATTGTGTATTTAGTGTAAGCGCAAGTAGTTCTGCAAGTCGCACAATATATCACTGAAGAAACAGTGAAATGATGAAACAGCAGTTGAAGAAATCAATACTCAATAGTCAAATGTAAGTCAATAATCACAGCAGTTTCGTGCATCGAAGAACCAATGAAATGTCAAACCAGCTCATCCAAATAAAGTGAACACCTAAGATAACAGGAACAGTTACCTTTTCAAGTCTTTTAATAACTTTATCACGTGTTTTCTCCTGTTTCTCTGTAAGTTGTCCCTTGTATGTTTGCCATGTTATTTCATCAACTTCATCCTGAAACATCAATGTACCAAACATTATTTCAATCAAGTACAACACTAATGTTTTTGAACAGCTTTGTACAAGATAAATTTTTTTGCATGCAATGAATTTTACACTTTCCAGCATGATAAAGTTGAATGTAAATTTGGTAAATAGTCAAAACATGAAATGGAGGAAATAAAGAACTTCCATTAGTAACAAGCAAAAGTGAGAACACAAGTCTGGCATCTGCAGGAAATTATAAGATTTCCAGAGATATATTTAAAAGAAAATTTCCCACCATTAAACTGCTTTAGAAAAGGGATTACTCCATCATGTATAGTATCCTACTGTTCTATGAGTGTTGCTTCTTTTAAATCTAAAATCAAATTCGATACACTAGGCCTGCCAGAAGGAAGACAACTGAAATCATACACGGAGTATGTCATAAGGTTGAGAATGATATAAGATGACTTCTGAATCTAACAGGGTTGATATAAGAAAACTTCTTTTGCTACAGTTTAATAGAATTATTACATATAGAACTGATTAAACAAGTGAAGCAAACCTCATCTACTTCAATAGCATCCTCACGCATTCCCCATGAGACCCCATCAGCAAGAGACGCTTCCAGTTTTGCTCGCAGGAGTGATTCTTCCATATCTTGCATATCTGCTCGGATCTTAGCCCTTCTTATATTTTTCAGGTCAGTTTCCTTCAAGAGAAAACCAGAATGCTTATCATTATGACACAAGGGCATAAATGCAGTTAAGAACCATAATAATGTTGAGCATGCTCTTTTATATCTAGAAAGTTTTTTCCATCTATAAGTTAGGGTGTGTTTGGAAACCCAGAAAATGATTTCTGGAAATCATTTTCCGGGTTTTGAGTGTTTGGTAAGTAGGAAAACACTAAAGTCAATGGAAAATGAAGTTGAGTCAATGGAAAATAGAGTCATTTTTATGGAAAATGACTTCCCCTTTTTTTAAGGGGAAGTCATTTTCCGCTTCGGGCCTTCTTCTCCGCTTCTTCGGTTCTCGACATCCGCTTCTTCGCTTCTCGACATCACTTCTTCGCCTCTTCGCTTCTGGACATCGCGTCTCGACATCGGAAAATGGTTTCCGACTTGGAAACACCTAGTTCTGGATTTCCAAGTCGGAAACCACCGACTTGGAAATCCAGAAATCGGAAATCCAAGTCGGCGACATGGAAATCCAAAATCTGGGTTTCCAAGTCAGAAACCAGTTTGGTTTCCTTGACCAATCTGGTTTCCAGCGATTGGTTTCCTTGCCAGAAACCGACAAGGATTCCGGCAAGGAAACCAGTTCAATAATTTTTTTTAATAAATTTTTTTTGGGGTTTATACATGAACACATCTATTGTATGTTAAAGATTTAAAAAGATAAATTTTACTTTGCATTATAACAATTAAAGTGTTAAGGTATACAATTTTGCTCATTTTCTTGTTCATTTTTTGGAAAATGAACCAGACACAAAAACAGTTTTCTGTTGTGCAACCAAACACCGGAAAGGAAAATGTTTTCTGGAAAATGACTCATTTTTCAGAAATCATTTTCCTGCTTTCCAAACGGACCCTTAGTATCACTTTAGTTTTGTTTCTGTTTTTAGTTTATAACAATTTTGACAATATTTCCTGGTCAAAAACCATAGAGCATGTAGACAGTGTGAAAAGTAAAATGAGAAGTAGTGAAGTCCCTTACCGGCGGCATCAAGTCATTTGGGCCTTGGAAAATATACAACCGAGATGACCTGTCCAAGTTTTAAAAAGAAGCTACTTCAGAAGAACTGACAACAAAAAAGCTCATATGCCATGGACATACATGAAATAACAAACAAGCAATTCCAAGTTCTCAGTGGGCATAAAAACAGATGGAAAACAAGAAGCAATGCAAGCTATCTATTCTGAAGGTCTAATCTACTTTTCTTTAATCACTTCCTTGACAAATAAGCAGAGGCTAGTCTCAGTTGAACCCTGCCTTTCTCTAACATAGGAATTCTACAGACGCTACAAAATCTGAATCAGAACCTCTGGGGAATTAAAACAACCAATTTTGCTAAATGAAAATAAGGTTTTGAAATGCATCTTAAGGGAGAAACCCTCTATATTTGTAAATACTACCTGGCTAAAGTGCAAACACATTAAAAAAGAAGATTATAGTTTAATTTTAATTATCCAAATATAAATTAATTAATATACATTATAGTTCTATTTGAATGATAGAAGTAAGCATACAGCTTCAAGAAAGAAACTACTGGTGAACATTTCATCATAAATGTAGCGTCTTTTCTTCTATAAGACATTATGAATTTATGTAGCATTGAAGTAAATCTAAGAATAAATAAATGCATCATACTTCAGGAAATTAAATTTATACTGCCACAAGTCCACAACCATTCAACCAATATCCCCAATACAATAAGGCAATAAGCAGTCTGTATCAAAAACAAAAAGGAGAAAAAAAAAAAAAAAAAAAATTCAGGTAATTACTTACTGTCCAAACCGTATTACATCACCAACATGCAGCTCCACAAAAGTCCTTTTATTCACCTATGTAATTTGGGAGAATGCAATCACCATAACGTTTATCAAGTGCATAAACGATAATAGATAAGATAATTTATGAATGCTGCTGTTTATAGACCACAAGTAGAGAGACCAGACATATTCAAAGAATTAAAGACGGTAAATAGAAATACTAAACGTGGATGAAACATGGCAGAGTTTCCATACTAATAATACCTGGTTAGTAAAAAACTGCCCTTCGTCTAAAAAATGTATATCATGCTTAATTGGCACCTTTAATAATTCTTTTAGGTATACAAGTTCTTTAGATGGGACAGTAGGCATATCAACTAACCACAGAGAAAAAACCATCCAATGATGAAAACTTGCCTACATAAAAGCATACATTTTTGCTTTGCATAACTTAAGATGTGACTGACTCTATGAGACCTGATAGGGAATATACCCCAGTTTTGACTTCCCTATGCATCCGTGCTCTCGTTTTGTAGTCGGGTCGGGGTCAAACGCTTCGGGTCCCGGTCCACATGTCAAAGTCAAACCTGTCACGCTAGTGCCTATATAAAGGGCCTTAGCCCTCCATTTTAGGGGCTCCTTCTCTCCCTTCCACTACACTCCCTCTCTATACACTTAATTCCCCGCAACTCTCTCTACAAGAACACAAGAACAATAATGAATAAGAGGCCCCTTTTGAGCTACATTTTGGGGATCTCCTCTCCTTTGTTGATACAGTTTGCATACGTACTATGTACAAACTACATACACGGGTCAATACCCCGTATCAAGACCCTTTACATGTAATTAAGGGTGTGATATAGATATCAATCAAAAAATACTTAAATACCTGGTTCTTGTTTATAAATGTCCCATGTGTACTACCAAGATCATAAATGTAAGCATCTCCATTGCTCTTGAACTGCAAAACTGAAAAGAAGAGGTGGAATGATAGCATTAGCATAAATAAAAACACACAAATGAAAAGTCACAAATCTTTTGAAGGAAACTGAACTTAGACTAACTAGGTCATCTTCAATTACCATATAAGTGACAATCTCCTCAATCCTCTATTAATAAAATAGATGTGGCTAGAACAAAAGTCATAGTCTCAATAGTCAAGAACCATCATGAAAGCTAAAGGAAAGTAACACTAGGGAAAAAAAAAAAAAAACAGCATTAGGAAAATGTATTACTGGTGAGTGGTGACAGTCCATATCATTAAAATTCAAGACAGTTCCAGTGTTAGTAAGACTATCAGGCACCAAGTATCTACATGTAGAAATTGCAGGCATGATATAACTTTTATCAGCACCATATATTGCTCACAGAAAAAATACATTGGTGCAATATTTGTTGTCAGCAAGATAATCATGAAAACAAAAAAGAAACTACCAATTTTAGCAGAAATACCTATACAGTTATGAATTCGTACCAGCATGAAATCTAGAGATTGTAGGATGCTCAAGGACAAAATCACAAAGATCCACGTGTCCAAACATGTAAGCCCCTTTCTTGTTTCTGGAAGCAAAACACCCAAAAGAAGAATAGCCATAAGCAGAACAGAAAAGAAGATGTCACTGATAACACAGATTAAGGTAAATCTCTTTTGTAAATCTGAATGGAACTATGTTTTTCATACGCAAGCAAATAAGAAAAGAAGTATCAAACTTGCAAGCAACAGAGCATCTAAACATGAAAGAGAAGTAAGTGCAACAAATATATAACCTGCAGAGATTCATAAGCTTCATGGTAAAGTTTCACTATATTTAAAACCGAAATTCATATAAATTACTTTGTCTATAAAATCTTTACTTTTATTTTAATTCAGCTTATGAAATCAAAACTTTATTAGTGAATGTTTCCACATGAACTCAAATATGGTAGTAACAACTTCGAATTTCATGTTTAATATTTTCAAATTCGAAAAAAACTTTAAAGTAACTACTATCAACTGAAGATAAATGAAGTACGAATCATCCTTACACGTCAAATTGATCAATGATGGATCCGTCTTTGAGAATTTCTATGTAATATTTATGGCACGGAGGCTCACTCCACGTAGGAATTGTATAAGGCACTTCAGCTTTAGAGCGTCGCTCCTGTTTCTTCTCTGCCTCGCTTCCATTGCTCTCGGAAGCAGAGCTGGAGCTCGCGACGGAGTTGCCATCACTGGGATCGTTTTGGGGAGCATCAGTGTTTCTCAACTCGGATTCCTCTAGATTCGATTGTGACGATTCGGGTATGGAGAGCCTAGGGTTTTCTGAAGGTGGAGGCATTTGAGCCTTCGTCGAGTCTGAGACTAAATCTTTAGAAACTGCGGAAGGCTCCTCGGCAGGGGTAGAGTTTCTGGGAGGCGGAGGACCCATGGCTGACGTCATAATGGAGGGAGTGAGGGTGACAGGAAGAGTCGTCGGTGGCTGACCGGAGGAGGAAAAGTGAAAACCGAGGCGGGAGCAACCGGAGGTTGTGTTATAACCCAACTAGTGAACCGACCCGGTTGCCTATGAGCATGTGATAAAAGGAAAAAATATAAAAGAGTAAATACCCAAAATGGTCCCTCGACTATAGCTAAATTTACAAATTGGTCCTCAACTTTCAATTTCAACCAATTAAGTCCTTAATTTTGCAATTTTGACACGATTTGGTCCTCCATCTATTTGACTGTTTGTTGACTGTGATCGACGATCTCCAGAAGAACCTTCAACTCTCGTCGGAGCACGTGGAGGCCTCTAGGATGACGTTGCACCGGTTCGGAAACATGTCGTCTTCTTCGCTCTGGTACGAACTCAACTACATTGAATCCAAAGGGATGATGAAGAAATGCGACCAGATTTGGTAGATTACTTTCGGCAGTGGATTCTAATGTAACAGTGCGGTCTAAAAATGCAATCGGAACCTTAAAAACCGGCAATGAACCATGAAATTACATATATATCCTCAAAAATCACAGTCAACAAACGGTCAAATAGACAGATGACCAAATTGTGTTAAACTTACAAAGTTAATGACTAAATTGCTTGAAATTAAAAGTCGATGATCAATTTGTGAATTTAGCTATAGTCTAGGGATCATTTTTGGTATTTACTCAATATAAAATCTATACATATATATATGCCTTGTTTGACAATATGCATTTAGCGAATTGTGTTAACGGTTAACAGATAATGAATTGTGTTAATGAGTCAACAAATTATATCGTACATTTGTACAAAAATATTTTATATTGAATGAACTAAATATCCAGCATGAATAAATAAAAAAAAAAATCAGTTTCGATTTACGTCTAAATATCCAGGATCAATGAACTAAAAATTCAGAATCAATGAACTAAAAATCCAAAATCAATGAACTAAAAATCCAGAATGAATAAACAACATAATGTTGTTGAGGGGAATCGAAACTGATTTTTTTTTAAGTGGGATGCGCGTTTTTAATAAAACGACGTCGTTTTTGCATCTGTATGCACCATGCATGGTGCATACAGATGCACAGCATAACGATCCGTGTGTGTGTTAAATAATTATATATTTTATTTATACTGAATGCTTTTATATTTATAAATTTATCAAAATGTATATACTAAATTCCCAATTCTCTAACCCAAATTTTTAATATTATTCTTTATTCTCAAATTTTCTTTGCGAGTTTGTGACGTTGTTATAAGATGACAGACACAAGTGAAGAAGTCGGTTCGGATTTGACTTATTTCAGATTGAGAAATTTGAAATATGCAGGGTTGGTTTGTTGGTTAGATTTTCAAAATTAAATTAATAGTATAAATAAATAAATAATTATGTTTGCAAGAGAACTGGCTAGGGAATATTTGAATTATCAAAACGAACCAAAATCTGAACCAAAACAAAATTGAACTAAAATTCATAACCGAATGGTTTCATTTTTTTTCAAAATCGAAAAAATCGGTATCAAAACGACCCCCCCCCCCCCCCCCCCCCCCAAAAAAAGTGTGAAACGCACACCCTAAATACGAGGTAATTGTAAGGTTATCGTTATTCTTACAAATCTCTAGCACTTTTTAAAATGGGTCCACTTTTACATCATTAAATTTATAAATTCTTCATTATTTGTTCTACATCCTTGCAAATCTTTCTTGCTTTAAAAAATATATCATACTTTCATATTATATTATATTATATTATAAATAATATAATAAAATAAAATAAAAAGTAAGGTTGCAACAACTTTTGCTAGCCACACAGACGACGACGACAACAACAAAATTACTTTAGCAATTCCACATCATCTTTTCAATATCTTATTTGCTAGGATAATCTCAACCTTTTTTTTTTTTTGAAAGGATCTCAACCTAAGTAACACTATCTCAAAATATTTGTTGAATGAAATACTCTTATCACTTAGGGTGTGTTTGGTTGACAGGTTTTGTTCAAAGAAATGGGTACGAAAGTGATTGTTATAGTTTGGTTGATAGGTTTTTAGAATATTACTATGGATTCCGAATAATTGAAAAATACATACCCAAATAAAATAAGGATTTCATTCCCTTATTAATTCTCAAGTACTATTACAGAGTATTATTAACCATTACCATTTCACCCTATTACCAAACATACTAAATACTTCCACTAATACTAAGTATTTGATACCTATTCGAATTCTGATTCATATGTGTGAATCAAAGACACCCTTTACTTGTATTCCATCCCCATTCCCTCATATGTTGCAAGAAAGAAACAAAAGGGATACTTCCTTCATGCCCCAAAGACAAGCACCCCATTACTTCATATGAAGATACAATTTTGATACGGAATATATGTTAAGCAATTATTTATTGATAATTCATGAATTCTAGCTTCATCAAATTAAATGTTTGGCCTCATGAATTCGTTCTAATATGAAAAAATAAATTGAGTGTATTCATTACCAAGACTATGTGGTCTAATGGTACCCATGTTAGATTTCCATTTGAAAGGTTGTGAGTTTAAGTTTTGGTGGAGGTGTTATTGACTATGAATGAATCAGAATAATTTTGTAATGATCTAAATGAGTTGAAGTAATTTTGTAATAATTTTCGTATCATTTTTAAAATGCTTTATTATAAAATTCAATAAAAATTAATAAATATAATTATTATTTTTATAAAAACGAACTTAATCGATGAAGTGTTGACTCATCAGCTCATAACCATATTTTACACCCTCAACAATGTTTTTTTGAATTTCAAATTTAAAAAATAATAATAACAACAAATTAACTGTTTAAACGTGAATCAAACATAATTTAAAAGTGTCATTTCCCCAAGCGGAGGATTATTATTATCTTTTCAAAAATGTATACATTTTTGTACTAATTCATTACTTTTATTTTCATTGCCGGAGAAAAGCGGCAGAAATAAACAAAACAAGCTAATGCTAGCGGCAAGAAGAGAGAGATTGACCATCTAAATGGCAAAATTTTAGGGTTTGGTTCTCGGGCACTGCCATTTGTGCGCAATCGAATTCATTGAGCTTTGACAATCAGATTGAGGTTGTTCAATCATCGCTCGACAAGGTAACCTCATTTTCCTATGTTTTATCTGTAACCATAAGCGTCGGCGTTTGTGACTTTAAGGGTTCGGATCTGAGAAAAATCTTACATTCATCGTATCTCAATTGTCAGGTTCTGATTGTTTATCTGACCTATCATTTTTTTTCATTTTTGGAATAATTATCTATTACCGAGTATATGCGGATGAAATTATCTAATGTCGGTGGATTTCTTAATTTGATGGTTTGATGATGATTGAGATTCTGGTATTGGATTGGATTGAGATTTGAAATTTGAGTATTGGGTTGTTAAAAACATTGATTTCGTAGTTAATTGGGGTCTGGAAGATGGCATAATCTAGAATTTTGAGACATTGTTGAGGTGAATTGGGGTTGCTGTACAAAATCAATGTTTGATGCGTGGTGTTAGAATTTTGGTGCAATGGTTGAAATAGCAGAATCTTCTGATTCCGGGACTGGATTATTCAGCTCCACTTTGGGGACGAGTAGGTCTTTTCGTGAAGAAGATAGCTTTCAGAGGCAAGTATCGAATCTTGGGGGTAGTGGATCCAGGAATACAAGCCCAATAGGACGTGTTGGTTCGAGAAACACTAGCCCGTCTAGACAAAAGGTGGTTAAGACAAAACCTCGTGGATTAGATGAGGAGACTTTAGCCACTTTTGGTAAGCCTATTCAACCTGATATTCAGATGGAAGATAATATTTGGGCAATGCTGCCAGAGGATTTGCTGAATGAAATCCTAGCTAGGGTTCCGCCATTCATGATTTTCCGACTCCGGTCTGTTTGCAAAAGGTGGAATTCTATATTGCAAGACAGTAGCTTTTTGAAGTTCCATTCTCAGGTGCCACCTCATGGACCTTGTCTTCTTACGTTTTGGAAGAATTCACAGACCCCACAGTGCTCTGTGTTTAGCTTGCCTCTGAAACAATGGTTCCGGATTCCATTTACATTTTTACCACAATGGGCATTCTGGCTGGTTGGTTCTTCGGGGGGGCTAGTTTGTTTCTCTGGACTAGACGGGTTAATGTTCAAAACTCTAGTTTGCAATCCCCTAACACAGACTTGGAGGATGTTGCCAAGTATGCATTACAATCAACAAAGGCAATTGATCATGGTTGTTGATAGGAAGGAAAGATCATTTAAAGTTATAGCCACTAGCGATATCTACGGCGACAGGTCTTTGCCAACCGAAGTATACGACTCAATGCATGACAAGTGGTCAGTTCACCAGACAATGCCTGCTGTAAATCTTTGCTCCTCGAAGATGGCATTTTGCGATTCAAGACTGTATTTGGAAACTCTCTCCCCACTTGGTTTGATGATGTATCGGCTAGATACTGGACAGTGGGAACACATACCAGCAAGGTTTCCGCGCTCTTTATTGGATGGTTATCTCGTTGCTGGCTCCCAGAAACGTCTATTTCTGGTTGGAAGAATAGGTCTTTATAGTACACTTCAAAGTATGCGAATTTGGGAGTTGGACCATTCAAAATTCATTTGGGTTGAGATAAGTAGAATGCCACCCAGGTACTTTCGAGCTCTCCTGAGATTGTCAGCAGAGAGGTTTGAATGCTTTGGACAGGACAATCTGATCTGCTTCACATCATGGAATCAAGGAAAAGGCCTTCTTTATGATGTGGATAAGAAAGTATGGTCTTGGATTGCTGGTTGCGCTATGAAGTCGTACAATAGCCAAGTCTGCTTCTACGAGCCAAGATTTGATGCATCAATCTATTAATTCAGCACCCAATCAATTGGGAGATCAGAAGCCAGAAGTAACTCTCTTGCCAATTGTCTACTCCAAGCTGCACTTTACTTGCCCTTTTTGTCTAACCCATATTTCAGAAATTAAGGACCTTTCATCTGTGGAGTATAAAGATAAGAGAAGTTCAATTTGACGGTGTTCTATTTAGGACATTCACTTTTGCTTTGTTCATTGAACGTTAGGCATGAGGGCGACCAGTCGATCACATCTGTAGCATAATCGTAAGACAATTTTCTTCTTCAACTCATGCAATTTTATGTAATCAATTGTTAATGCTTACATCATTGTTGATTTTCTTGAATGACCTATGCTTTGGTGCATTCTTTATTCTGTTTCTACAAGCATATATTTGAATCAAATAATGGATATACTACATACAACAGCAACAGTTTCTACCCAGAAACAAAGTGAGTTCAGGATCGAACAAGGTCCATGATGTTCTTTGGAAGGCAAACAGAAGTTCCATTGATACACTGAGTCGCAACGATCCTATAAAAAGCTTCTGTACCATGATAGCCGTCCCAGAAATAGTGTTTGTCTGCATCGCGGCATGCTATCGTCTCCGGTATGCATGCCGAAGCCCCATCCCATGTAAGGCAACAAGGATTGCTTGAATCTGTCAAACCTATACATATTCAAATTCAGAGTCATTAGTTTCAGTAAAAACTACATATATCTTTAATATGGTTGCTGGCTGGCAGCCGGCAGTTCCATCATCACCAGAAATCCGGCCACCGACTGCAATTCCTATATACAGACAGAGTTGATATTCATTGATTTACCATATGCAGACGGGTTTATGGCGATGTCGTAGCCAAGCCAGTGACAATGACCGAGTATAAATTGAGAGTCGTGGAGGGTGGTGGTCAGATTTTTCAGCATGGCGTCGAGCTGCTCGTTGAACATCATCACAAGCTGGTTGTAATCCACAACACACGTCTCATTTGTCGGTTTAGATTTCTTCGTGAATAACGGAATGCAACCGATCGGCCCAATCTCAAACATCACCACCTTTCTAGCTCCCAAATCATATAACCTCTGCATAGCATTAGACTCGAATCAACAAATCATATCCAATCCTTAACCTCAATCTAGTTATTGTATCTGATCTGATAACGAGCTTTACCTGGAATTGCACGGAGAGTGCATCGATTACAAGTTTAGCGAACTCTGTAGGGGAGTAAGCTCTACTGCTATTGTAGAAATTTGGTTGTAGGTAGTTGTTGATGTAGTCATTGTTGCCTATAGCCACCAGGAAAATGGACTTGGACAAGTGATCCGAAAGCTCTGAGCTGTTGTAGTGCCTTGACAGTTCCATCTGCACCGTTTGGTTGAACATGTTAACTTGCTCAGCTATAGACAAACACTTCCCCTGCAGAAAAAAACCGAAAAGTGAGCAGAAATACAGAAAAAAGTACTCGTATCAAAATTCAAAATCATCACACGAATATTGCTGCACGAATGCTAGATATAGATAGATCATTTACTAGGTCATTTCCAGTTTCGCGTAGAATGCCGCACGATGCAGACGCATAATTCAGCCCCGTGAGGGGCGTGGATCCTCGCAGGCTCAAGTAAGGCGGAGGAAACGGCAATCCGAGAGCCTCGGCTACGAAATCCGCGACGGTTTTCCCGTTCGTGAACCTCCCGGTAGCTCCCGCCGCAAAAATGCTGCCGTAAGGGAAGAAATTCGCTCTGGCAAACGTCGGCAGGAGATTGTTGTTCCCGCTGTCGAGCAAGGAATCCCCCATTACGTACAACGCCGGCGCAAGAGGAGGCTCCGACGACTGCGCGATTTGGAAACAACACGCCACAAAAACCGCCATGAACACCGGCCGCAGCAACTTCTCCATTGTCACCAAGGCAGAACGTACGGTACCTGAATCGGGTAGATGATGAAGAGGCGATGCGCACTTAAACATGCATAACAACTGATCGTCTCACAAGTTTATTTGCCTTTTCCATGTTTGATCCAGCTTTCACGAAAGCCTCGTTTCTGATGTGTATTTCTCTTTCGCTGGAAAACATTGGAAAGGTGAGAACTCAGTTCATTTTGTAACGGACGTGGTCACTTTGCATTATTACATCTTCAAATCCTTCAACACCATAACACGTTGTTTTTAATCTCAAATGAGTGCGTTGTCTTTTCCGTGACCAAAAAAATATTAATTTTTAAAAATTATACAAACTACGAATTTGTGAAGGATTGCACCACACCCGAACCACAAGATCCTCAAGGCATGTATAGGAAGCAGTTCAATTATGTAGCCGTATATATTTGGAGTTGAATTTCATGCTAAAGTTCACAACAAAAGGGAACAAAATGATGCCGACAAGTTTCTTTTTCTTTATTAAATTAAGGTCTATCGTCACTCTAGCTGCAGTTTTTCGGCCGAGTATACTGCAAGAACAAAATGATGGCAACAAATTTTATTTTATTTTTTTAAATCAAGGTCTCTCGTCACTCTAATCGGAATAGCTGCAATTTTTTGGGCATGATTTGGTGCCTTGTGCTAGTATAGAAAGTCAAATTTCTGTTTCTCATTTCTCATTTCTCCGTTTTCCATTCTATTTTATAATGTACAAATAATATATTATCTATCTATCCAGTCCCCTACCACTTACTGTGCTGACCGTTGGGACGGAAGATTAGTCTTCTGGCTATCGGCCGAAGGGATACCTTTGGGCAACCAAAAAAAAAAAAAACATATTATCTATCTTTCCTTTTTTTTTTTTTTTTTTTCAAAAATGAATAATTTAACCCATGAGTAAATGCAACATTGCAACCTAACTTATTTGGTTGTTAGTTTTGTTACACAGAAAAAGTGCTCTATACTCGATACAAAAGTCTCACTATTTTAGAGAATGTTGTCCCATTTCAAACCAATTTCAGACATCATTTCATTCGGACCTATCTTGTGAACCAACCATGATGTCTACAAGATTTTGCAGTTTTCTGGAAAGTCCAGAGGATTATCCCTGAATAGCTACAATTAGAGTTCACACCTTAGAGCATTCTTAATAGTTCGAGTTTTTCTCCCAGTGAAACACACTTTTGCAAGAGAACAATCCAAGAAAGAACTACTTCAATTCCCACATTTGTTAAAAATCAACTCACAACTACTTCCCACTTTTGTTAAAAACCAACTCACAAGTTTTTCACTGTTCCAAAAACCACAAAAAACCCCTTATTGGGGGTTACCGAAAATGATACTAAAGAAAACATCAAAGAATCACTGACATGAGTTCTCTACAAAAATATGCTCTGTCAGTTGTCATGCAAAACCTCAGCCACTATCTATTCTCCTTAGAAGAAATTGTTCTTTCACCCTATGTTTCATCTGCTCTACCTATTCATCTTTTCTTCATCAACACCATTTTCTATTCATCTATTCAACAAACAGTCATCGCGAACTAGAAGCCTTCTGGATTTCCTTTCCCCGAATCTTCTTTTCATGCCTTGTGTCACATGGAATCCACAGTTTCAGTCACAACACATCCCTGTCTGTTCCAGATTACGTTGTTATAGACTTATAGGAACTGCATTCGTAATCTTCCACAGCTAGAAATTTGTTCATCCTCTGCATTATACTTTGCCTGAACTCATCTTTCTCCTCCCTCGAGCTCTTCTTGATCTTCCACCAAAGCTTCTTCTTTGTTGCTTATCTCTCCACTATCACCTTCGTGATTATTATTATTATTATTGTTGTTGTTGTTGTTGTTGTTGTTGTTTTGCCAAGAGAACAATCCAGAAGACAAGGAATCGTCTTCATCAAGATCCTCTTCGCTTTCATCCTTCGATTGAGATATGGTGTGACCATTCGTCATCCATGAAGGGCAGTGCCTCAGAACTCCAAGAGAATTGGATATTTGAGAATGGGGAGGACTTGAAGCGTTGTCTGATCTTTCGGTGGAAACATGCACTGTGCAAGAACATTCTGAAACTGGAAAGGCGAGAAGAGACAGTGGTCTGGTTCTCTTTGATTCCTTAGCTAAACCATCAACTAAATTTCTCCTTAGGCTCTTGCGTATGGATGTTATCCAAGTACGGTTGGCCTGATATAATGTATCGCGGATCTCCTCGAAAAGCTTTGCGATTTCTTTTCTGCAGAGTAGAACGAAGCCATCAGAACAGTTTATTAGGAAATCATGTTAAGAGTCCACATTGATAAAATAAGAGAGAACATATGGGTTTATAAGGTAATGGGTGATTGGATTCAATCTTTTAGTGTGGTTTGGCTCAGGTGCATTATAGCCCAATTGAGTGGTGGTTTTACAGAAATCACATTTAAATATTTACCTGTTAGGATTGTATGTTCTCGATGGAGCGAACTGATAAAGCCTGTGCCCCGTTACTAAACTAGCAAAATTGGGGTGCCCTTTACCATCACGATCGAATCCAGCAAGGAATGCATCTGCTTCGAGGCAGACTATGTAGTCTATTGCCTCCCATAACAACTTGTGAGCATTAGTCCTCAATTCTTCAATACTACTCTCGGGCTCGTTATCACTCTCAGCCACCCAACCCCACCAGCCTTCAATGTTGTATGATTTGGGTCGTGCTGGGGGAGGTGGAAGAGGGCGAGGACGTGGGCCAGCAGTTTTCCAGTCACGAATTTTTTTCCGGTCTTCCTTGATCAAAGGAGTCGTCGAATATTTGTCCACGAGCGTGGTCTCACGACCATACATTTTACTCAGCTCCCACAGAGTGCTTAAGGATGTTCTGTCAACGACATTCTCAAACATAGCATGAAGTGGAATTAACTGCTTTCGTCCACCAAAGACCTCCCCGCCAGATACATAAATGATAGTGTCTGGTTTGTAACCATATGCTCGTAGAAGAATCCCAACCTGTTAAACATTCATTAGATCCTATGATTACTATTCAGGAATAGATTCATCTGCCCCATTTTATCTGTCCTACTTACTATTCATTGGTCAAACCAACTCAAATAGTACTTTTAGTGTAGTTTCTAAATATATAAATTTTGTATATTAATACTAAACTTAATATTATGAAAAATTGAATTAAAAATAACTTCAGTCAAGCCTGGTTAATCGAACAAGACACATAAAATGGGACGGGGAGTATTATATATACCTCTTCAGGCACAAGAGGACACAATCCATTGAGACGTTGTTTGGCAGAATCTACAGAAAGATTCCCCTTCAGAATTCTGCGTTTGATCATCCATGATCTCCTGTGCAGGATAAGCTCGGTATGCACATCCTGGAGACAAGTTTTCAAGCACGATATATCTTAGATCCTGGATAATCTATCAATTTCAAACCGAGATTTAAGATGTCAATGAAGCCCGGTAATATTTGAAAGAATACCTGAAAAAGCTCGGCACAGCCATGGTATGCCAAAGCATCTCTCGTCATCCCAGGATCATATGCTATAAATGGCCGCCCTGAAGCTCGTAATCTGAATGTACTCGAGAAGTAAGCCAAGTATAGTATAGAATTGAAGTGCTTGAGAAATAGCCATAAGTAGAAATTACCTATTCAAAACTTTAATAGCAAGTTCTTGGACCTCATCTCTGAATCTCAGGGCATGAAAAGCAACCCGACATCTCAGCTTTTGGTATTCGATAAGATGTTGAGGCAATGTGGACTACATCATATCCAGCAAGCAAAAAAGTCAAGATTCGAAGAACAATTATATTAGGCTGCAAATCCACATTGAATAGTTTATATCCAGAACGAATAACGAAAATAATAGAGGTGCAAAACATAGAATCGATGTTTAGACTTTAGATGCCAAGTCTTTAACAGTCTTCACAAGACATTGCAAAAATAGTTCTCTCAGAAAATGAACGGGCAAGATCAGCCAAGTTGGTTAGACTGTTGAGTGTTGACTTGGTAACCACAAGGTTACAAGTTGGGAGCAACCTATTGGCTTTCTTGGTTTGAACCGGTCAACTATGGGCAACCTGGGCTGGTTTACCTCCTTGTGATCCTTAGCCAGTTAGGGTCACAATGCGGGGTTATGGGCAACCTAGGCTGGTTTACCTTCTTGTGATCCTTAGTCAGTTAGGGTCACAATGCGGGGTTATGGGCAATCTAGGCTGGTTTACCTCCTTGTGATCCTTAGTAAGTTAGGGTCACAATGCGGAGTTATGGGCAACCTAGGCTGGTTTACCTCCTTGTGATCCTTAGTCAGTTAGGGTCACAATGCGGGGTTATGGGCAACCTACGTTGGTTTACCCCCTTGTGATCCTTAGTCAGTTAGGGTCACAATGCGGGGTTATGGGCAACCTAGGCTAGCTTACCTCCTTGTGATCCTTAGTCAGCTAGGGTCACAAGGCAGGGTTTACCTGTGCACACCCTCGGGTAGTCATCCAAAAATGAATGGAAAAGCATATCTAACTTGTTCCCATTTCTGAGCTATTTGTAGGCTACTTGAACAGAGATCACAAGTTTGAAGAAGATTCTTGAGTTCAAATAAGAGTATAAACTATAGATCTTATACTCATTTGAGTTGTAACATTATGAATTATATTTCTAGACACGGTTTATGTAGTAACTTAACAAGTTATATTACTTCTGTCAAAGATAAGCACACTATTTTCATCGAAAACATTGCAGAACCAAATTGAACTAGCAATAGCTAAACCACAAATTGGAAAGATTGTTCCCTATTCACCTGCAAACATCCACCATCAGAAACAACAAGCTCAACAACCGAGTGTCGAGTCAGCACGGGGAGAACATGGCGCAGGTAAAAAGACGGCGAAGCTGAGTATGACACTCTGAACGAAGGAATTTCTTTCTTCCTCCTCGCTCCTTTGAGATTTTTCGGAAGGGTTTTCACGATTTTCACATCGTTTGCCAAAGCTGCCATGAACTGATCCTCATTGTAGAGGTAAGCAAAACTCTTGAACTCTGAGCTGCAAATTTAAAACGAATCAAAACATTACATCGAATTCTCACACATCTCGACATCTCATGATATTCCTAATTACATATTCACATGTTAAGAATGTACCTGATCCCCTTGCTGCTCGTCGTAGACTGAATCTCTGGAACAACGAGCGTAGCATTGAGAAGTCGAGCAACAGCAACAACATCCGAAATCTGACAAAAACAGCAACTTTAAGTTGATAAAACATCATGAGATTATCAGATTAGACCAGAATCCACAAATATCATCCATACCGAATTCCTGATCTCATGGAAACCGCCTCGTATCCTCACAAAGATAAACCCAGTTGACATAACTTCAGGAGCTGCTAGAAACACCAGAATTTGAAGCACAAACCAACAAGCAAAAAAAAAAAAAAACAATTGATTATATTCCTTTAACTTCTTGACATCAAACATCAATCTACCCAGTTTTGTATAATCTAACCTGGATAATTGGATCCAGGATTGGCATCAGCATGTAAATATTCAAGAGGCCTAACCGGACCCCAAAGTCTTTCATGAATCAGATTCTACCAAAAAAAAAAAAAAAAACAAACAAATAAATAACATTGAAATCCACCAAACACACAAGTCAACCTCCAGTAACCTCAACTGCACTACCTAATACTCGAAATTAGCTAATGACTAAGAAAAAAGAACTACAGCATGTGCCCGACAATCATAAAAAGGTTGTTGCTTTCCCGGATTCCAACCCCCAGATTCAAGATTTTTTTTTTTTCACAATCTAATCAATAGAGAAACGAAACAAGCAAGCAAAGAACAGATCTTTGATGGGTTTGAGCAAAATTACAGCACTGGGAAGATCTGCATTGTCGAAAATGGGCCTCCACGAGAATATGGTGACAGAAGACCGGAACTCCGACACGGCGGCGCCGCCGTAAGTGTGGCGAGCAAGAAGAAAGTGGGTGACGAGGGAGAGAGCAGAGACGACCAGCCCCACTAGCCCCACCCATTTCATCTTCTTCGACACCATCGTCTTCCCTTCCCCTTTAGTCTTCACCCACTTCATCTCCACCCAGCAAGAACACAGTTACACAGAGAACACTGCCCCCCAAAAAAAAGAAAAAAACACAATTTTTTTGGGGTAAAAAAAATGGAATTTGGACTTTCAAGAAGCTGGTAAGATGAGAAGTCAAACTGTACAATAGCACAGTGGACTAGTGGAGGGGACACTGTTTAGTGTTTACATGGAGGTGGAAGCGCGTGGAGGACACGGTGGCTTGGATAAAGAGGGCAATAATGGAGGTTGCGGACAGCGGCGCGTGGAAGTAGGGCTTCCTAAATTGGGAGTACTTTGGCATAATTAAGGTTTGAAGTCACGTGACTCTTGTCAGCCTCACGTGGATAGTAAATGGATTTGATCAAAAGTGGGCCGTGTATACGTAACATCTTACATGATCTAAATTTTAATGGATCTTATGGCCCGGTAAGCTTGGGCCCAAGTGGATGTTGACCGTCCGATGTTGTCAGATCTGAACTGTTCACATGATGTTGACCGGATATCATTTCAAGCAAGAAAAATGAATAATGCATTTTGGAAAAAGCACCGTCCAGAAGTTAATTAGGCCACCGAATTTTTTAAAATTGTAATTATTACTAATTAGACATATCAAGTTATCAACATATTAATTTATTACATCAAGGTCCAAAAACTTAATAGTGATATGCAATAGCATGTCAATAATGTACCGGCAGAGCTCCGGCAATATTCTACCAAAATGGTCGCCTTCTTCGTCGTTGGAGATAGCGACCAAACTGGTCAGCATCTCCGTCGATTGGAGATGGTGACCAACTGGTCTCATTTCTAATAACGGAAAAGGAGATCGGTTTGGTCGCCTTTTCTGGTCGACGGAGACGGCTACCAGTTTGGTCGCCTTTTCTAACGACTTGTTGGTCGCGTCTTTGTTGGAATGTCGTCTGAGCTCCGCCAGTGCATTATTGACTTGCTATTACAGGTCACTATTAGGTTTTTGGGTCTTATGCACTAAACTGATATGTTGATGTATCTAATTGCAATTTTTAAAAGTTTAGGGGCCTAATTGACTTCTCATATAAAGTTTGAGAGTGTATTTGACCATTTTTCCATGCATTTTTAATATTTTATGGATTTTGTTTACTTACAAATTTAAAGTGTATGCTTAGATCAACCACATTTGTGGGTTTTTGGGAGGTTTTTTTCAGATCTACAAATTTGGCTTGGATTTTTATGCTAACGGGATGCATGATTTTTCTCACATTTTTCTCTTGCAAATACAAGTTCTGTATGAGCCCCACAACTGAAAATTTCACACGCATAACACGAGTTCCTTACAGAGCCTGGCGTGTTGGTAACGTAAAAGATCCTTTTTATTGTTTGTTTTTTCATTTGTCATACTTGTTTTACTTTTTTTTTTTTTTTATTCCTTTTCTTTTCTCACATTTCCCTCTCTCATCTCTTCTAATTGGCTTGCAAAGAACCTACAAAAAATCTCGACAAATGAGGTTGCTCTTACATTCAATTATTATTTTTATTTATATAATTGGAAGATACTGAGTTGATAAAAAATAAAATAAAATCGGTAGACAGTTGGATCTGTATAGAGGTGTCAATGTTTAGTGGGTTGGGGTGAAGGAATATACAAGACATAAGTGCTAAAGTGTGAGTTTACTCAATTTGGAATAAGGCACTCATGTGTGAGGATGATTACAAGTAGTCGTGTTCACTATACGAGAGTGCATTTGCCTGTGAGGTAGCGGGAAGCAACTCATATATATATATATATATGTGTGTGTGTGTGTGTGTGTGTGTGTGTGTGTGTGTGTGTGTGTGTGAGAATCATCTTTCATGTGAAAATTGTGGACGGATCATAGCAATTTGCTTTTGTGTTTTTCTATAACTATGATTTCTTATTATATATGTGACGTGATTTTTTAAAATTGGGATAGTACGGTCATTTGTGTATTTTTGTATCTGCACGATGGACTATACATATGTTGCATGAGTGATTGGATGTATGTTTCTTATTTTATTGGTCGATTGTTACTGTGAAATTGGTAGGGGGTTCTGCTATAAATAGGGGTCTTACCTCTCACCAAGACATCATCATCTGAGCACTATAGACACCCTGATCTAGTGGTCTTTGGTCTATACTTTCAACATAGTCACATGTGTTCAAATCTTGTAGTAACATAATTAATTATAACTCATCATTTGGGTCTTAGTCTTTGTGTTTGGGCCTTCATTTTGGACATGTATCTCAATCGCAATAATACTACTATTTTCCTATACCGGTTCTGTAGGATAGTTATGCTGTGCATCCGTATGCACCATGGTGCATACGGATGCAAAAATGACGTCGTTTTATTAAAAACGCCCATCCCACTTTAAAAAAATCCAGTTTCGATTCCCTTCAACAGCATTATGTTGTTCATTCATTCTGGAATTTTAGTTCATAGATTATGGAATTTTAGTTCATTGATTCTGAAATTTTAGTTTATCGATTCTGAAATTTTAGTTCATTGATTCTGAAATTTTAGTTCATAGATTCTGGAATTTTAGTTCATTCATTCTGAAATTTTTAGTTCATAGATTAGATTCTGAAATTTTAGTTCATAGATTATGGAATTTTAGTTCATCGATTCTGAAATTTTAGTTCATATGTTGTTGCTGGGAATCGAAACTAATTTTTTTTTTTTAAGTGAGACGCGCTTTTAATAAAACGACGTCATTTTTGCATCCGTATGCACCATGCATGGTGCATACGGATGCACAACATAATTTGCCGATTCTGTATATATATACCCGATTTAAGATGGATCCGATCCTAGCAAAATCATATTATCATCAAATTTGTTAGATGAGTTGCGAATCAGACGGACCATATTATTGTCTGAGAATCTATTTCCTTAACAAATTATATAGAATAGTGTGTCACTGTCATTCAAAAAAAATATAGAATGGTGTGTGTTCTCCTAATTTTCTGTGTTATTTTCTCCAGTTGGTTTCGAATTAATGAAATTTGTTTTTTTTTTTTTCAAAAAATAATTATACATATATAATGAGACAAAATGAGTATTAAGGCGATGTTAGGAAGTAGTGTGACGTCGGGAATGAGGAACTCTTTTGTGTAATGTAAAATGGACAAATTTTCAACTTCACCGGATTTTCAGTACAATTCTGAAACGATTCGGCAGCGGTGGGCCCAACATTATATAGTGGTGCTTAATTTTAGGACATTTCACCTGCCCCTGCGCACGTTAGCACCCTCCAACCGCCAAAATTGATTATAGTTCCAGGAAAGCCCTCACTTATTAGGGCTCCAGATAATAATCCGCTGCGAAAAACAATTCGTGACATGATACATACAGAAGACGATTACGTACATACGTGTAAGTAGTATACGCAGCTCTTGTAGTCGCCGGAGAATATTTCCGACCGCCGCGAACGGCTCTACGCCGCCAACTGAGGTTTATCTCTGTACTCCTCCCTCGCTATTATTATGTACGTGTATTAGTATGTGTATCCGGAGCAGGATTGTTAACTTGTTATGCTATTTCTTTTATTAGGATTGATTGTCATTTCCGGAGTGTTTGAGCTGAAGCTGTAGAAATGCTGAGAGCTGCAATGAATCACAGCGATGAAGATGATGACATGGAGTTTTCTTCCAGAAGTGTCGATGGCTTCTCCCAGAAAGGTACGAAAAACATCGGTTTACGGTTAGGTAGCTATGTATGCGGGTGATTTAGTATTTAAATCGTTAGATTCTTATGGTGGCAGTTAAAGTAGAGGGGAGGAGCGGTGATCAGAAGGCAAATGTGGTTCGATCCAAGCATTCTGAGGCAGAGCAGCGCAGGAGGAGCAAAATCAATGAGAGGCAAGCTTTCTGTTTAATGTGTTGTATGCTATTGCTTTGGCTCTTGTTAAGTTTTTTGAATTTGAAAAGAAGTGTTGAAGTTGGCTATTTAATTTGCTGGCACTGCATATGCTGTTTCTTCTGCATGTTTGGAGTAGTTTTGCCATGAAAGATGGATGGATTTATGCGTTTATCAACAAGTGTTAATGGATGAATTTCTGTAATGTCTCTGAGGTTCTCACTTCTCAGTCATTTGGGTTTATGGAAATATGGAGTTGTCTTTGTTTTCACTCATCTTGAGGAAAATGTAGTTTGTTTTTATTCGAGAAGAAAGTTAGCCAGTGCTGTTCTCTAGGATGTATTGCCAATATGCCATTACTCCATTATGCCATGAAAAAATCATCTCAGCTGAGGACTTGTTGTCTTTCCTCTGGTTCTAATGTTTTATGATATGTTTGTCTTGTTCATTTATTAGTGAATGGTCAAAACATTTGCCTTTGATTTGATATAGTATATAAAGAAACTCTCTTTGCAATTCAATTTGTACTCGTTGAGCTATTTAAACATTGATTATTATAATGGAGCTGAGTTATTTTATTTTGCAGATTTCAGATTTTGAGGAATCTCATACCAGAGAAAGATAACAAGAGAGACAAAGCTTCATTCTTGTTGGAGGTGTGTTACTCTACCTTGTTTGACTATTTTTCTTCTTCTAGTTTTTAATCAATTTCAGAACCCTGGTGCAATGTATGCATTCACAAGAATATTAAATACAGGTTATACAGTACATCCAGTCTTTACAGGGGAGGATACAAATGTATGAGGGGGGATGCCAAGATTGGAGTCAAGAGCCCTCCGAGTTGATGCCATGGGTAAAATCTGTACACCACATCATACTGATTTTCAAGTGTGTTTATGATGCAAATTTCTCAAGTAGGCAATAACTTAAACTTACATAAACAAGTTTCTGTTATTTGCAAATGATGAACTTGGAAGTTGGAATATAGATAGGATGTTGGATTACTCTTTCTACTGTATTGGAATTTTCAGTTCTAAAGGTAACATGATATCAACCTCTCATCTTTATTGCCAATAGAGGAGCTCTTCTGGGGCAGTTGGGCACTCTGAACTGATCAGGAACGGCTCTGCACACGAGGACAATGGTGTTTTGGACCAAACAATTCTTGCAAATGCACATGACTCAACAGAATCTGATCCAAGTGCTGAGGTGTTGTATAAAACAATGGATGATCTCCAAAGATTGACCAATGAAGCAACTTCCTTCGGCATGCAGATGCAGCCTAGTTTCTTTGAAGGTTCATCTGTCCAACTTTCACCAGGATCTTCTTTAATTGAGAATTTGGCTTCTCAGTCTCAATTCTTTTATTGGACTGATGAACAAA